GTATTTTGGGGAACTCACTAAGCTTTGTGCTTACGATTCTTATTGTTATGGACTCAGGTACTTCCGACTCGAAAGGGAAAGGGTCGGCTTGATCGCAACACATCCACCCATGTTTTCGCAGTATAATGATTTTGGCATTGTACTATGATAACTGTTTTCTTATAAAGTACTTTTGAATATTTAGAAAAAGGATATTGAATGTTGACTTAAAGATAATTAATGTTTTGGTTGAATTAAAAATGGAATTTCTACCTCATAATTTTGGGACGTTACAAGTAGGTATCAGAGCCTTGGTTTAAGGGATTCACGCACACTCTCGGGTATGTTTGAACTTAAATTTAGGAATTGATAATCTTTTGAAAGAAAACGAGTTTCTAAAAAGATTTTGTAAAAGGTAATAAATTTCTAAAAGGATTTTGTAAAGAAAAATTGGGTGTCATGTGTGCAATTGACTGAGCTCAAGTAAGTGATTCCCAGAATACCCATACATGTTTGTTACGATTATATGTTATGAGAATTGCATGCTAGGATATGGCTAAGGATATTTTCAGGAATTGAATGATAGATTGGCCTGATATGTGATGCCTTGTAGTCTAGGAAGCATTGGATGCTATGCTAGAATGAGAATATATTGGTATCAATAATTGTTAAGTGTATGCTCAAAAAAATTATATACGGTTAGGATCATATAGCCCTAGAATGATTGATTTAGCCTTATTTTTTATTCCTCGTTTGGTTGTGGTCCTAGGGTAGAATCTTTTATTTGATAGTCTATTTGATCAGGTACTATGTATAATTTGCATGCATAAGGCAACCAACAGTGAGAGTGGAAGTTTCTAGCATGAGTTGTAGTATGTGAGTTTGAAGGTTCTTTTGTTATTCTATGGAATGGAGTGCTACTGCACGAATGTTTCTTGCTTTGTGCTTTATGGAACTCTTAAATGATGTGAGTTAGCTATTAAGTGAATATGTTAAGTAATATGTGACAAAGGTTGAATAATCTCATAGTGATGGATTTGATCGTATTACGTAGCTCTCGTTTGAGTCTAACCGTTGTAGGGATGAGTCTTTTACTAGAAGGATTATCTAATATTTGTTGCATGTGATTGTATTCATGAGGTGGTTAATTGACATTATGGGGAGTTTTTCAGCAGCTGATGGCACGGTGAGGTTAAAAACCTAGGAAAGCCTAGGAAGTGCTTCAGTGGGTTTAGTTGTGATGTTTAGCGAGTACTTGGTGTGTCAGTTTGAGAAGTTGACTTGGAGGATTCGTGATGATTCTTGACGAAAGTATGGATATGTGTGGAAGGTATTATTGGGCACGTCCTACTAAAAGCACATGATCCATACTCGAATTAGGGAGAGTTTCAGAGAATCTACGAAGCATGTGGGATGAGGATTCTTGTGTATGTCCTAATCATTTGCACGTTATTTTTCAGTATGGTGATGAGCACTCAGGAAGGAGGTTCGAGTTTGGGTTCAGGCCCAGGTGCAGGTACTGAGCCGATTGATGAACAGATGTGGTAGTTCATCTCATTGGAGATTACCTGCGGTATTTTGAAGCAGACTCCTATGATCTTTGGTACAGTTAAGGAGGGAATTTTGGAGATTTTGGACGAGCGACTAGGTGTATTATGTACTGAGGTTATAGCTATTGTTGGAGCTCGCACTCTTTCTTTCCATGATTTCTATGCTTGTGGAACTCCCGAGTTCTTTGGGGAGAAGGACCCCATTGCCAGTAGGAGATGATTAGTGGATATGGATAACGCTTTCAGGACAATTTTCTTCCTCGAGGAGTCAGGTCATATTTTTCTCTTATCTTCTGAAGGACAGAGCACAAGATTGGTGGGAGGAGGAATACTTCAATTTGGGAAGTGAAGCTCTGGAGACAATGACTTGGGATGAGTTTGTAACCCGGTTCAGGGTTGAGTTTACACCAACTATTAAGGTGCATCATTTGGCGAGGGAGTTTCATGACCTTCGCCAGAAGACTAAGACTGTGGCAGAGATCACTAACAAGTTTTGGGAGAGGGCTTGTTGGTTCTGCAGTATGCATCGGACGAGTAGATGAAGAATGTAAGGTGTCATGTCATGCTGAGGGATGGCATTAAGGAGTTCGTTAGTTTGTTAGGGTGTGAGACCCTAAATGATATGATTGCTAGAGCCCGAGAGCATGAGATTGATTTGGAGCACCTCGAAAAAAGCAAGCCAGAGTAGATTCAGATTTCAGTGGGACAGATGAAGCGGCCCAAGAATCAAGATTCACGTTCGAGAGGCCATCAGGGTCGGGGCTATTGTGCCAAGTGTAGGAGAACCCATGAGGGAGGGTATTAGAAGACATGATAAGTATGTTTCAATTGTAGTCACATGGGTCATTTTAGTAGGGATTGCTCCCGTGGATCAGATACGATGTGTTTTCACTGCAACCATATGGGCCACAAAAAGGTCGAATATCCGATGTTGAGGGGTGGAGTAGTGAGTGCACCTGCTTCGGTTACTTTGAGGATCACTGATAGTCGTGAGGGTAGGGTAGGAGCCCCAGTAGCAAGGAGTCAAGCATTGCAATATCAGTCAGGGGAGGCAAGGGTTTCATCAGGTGCAATTGCGGGTATGTAATCTTTGCTTTCTTCTTAATTATTATCAGTATTTATATTGCTTTGGAATCTTGTTTGGGTATGGGTAAGCATTATCTTTGGTTTATGTCTCTGTTATTGCTTGGGATTATATCATCAAGAATTTTTATATGCCATTTTGCATGCCAAGTGTCATTAGTGGCTTGTATCTTGTTGAGCGGGATTCAATTTGTTCGGTTGTTGTTCCGGTTCTTTGATGGGGTCAATTAAGGGGTGTCGTTTGGAAGGTCTATGGTCGGATTAGGTTGCTAGTTCTCCAATGGAGTCAGAGTTCAGTCGTGTTAGCATTTGTTCCGGTAGGATTGACAGTCATCCATTGAAGAACCTTTAGGTCCAATCACTACCGTTGCTAGGGAAGGAGCGGTATCAAGAAGATGGTGGTGGAAATTGCATGAGTTTGTTTGGTCACTAGAAGTTCTAGGGGAATTTTGTAATTGCAATGGTTGGAGTTGGTTAGAATTCAGAGATCCTTATGAGGATGGGAAGATGGAGTGAAGATTCGCCAGTTTAGAGCAAGGGTTGTTGTCTTTGTCACTAGCATAAAGGACTTAACGAGGTAGTGTTTATCATAGAAAACGATTGGGGTTGCCGGAATTGCTGAGATTTCGGGGAGTATTTATCTGGAATTCAAGAGTTGTGTGATCATCGAGATTGGCTAGTAATGGAATGCTAGTTTTGGTAATCTCAGGTTGTAAACAGTTTGAATCGTTTGGTTACAAGATGGATTGGAAATTCATCAAATCTTTAGGTTGGATTAGTGAAGTCGAATCTAAGTGGGGGAGAATCCTTTGGTCTAAGGGATTGCACAAGAAAGGATATTTGTGTTTCGTTGTACATAAGTAGTGGCGTACAACGAGTATGTGGATGGATCCAGGTTGAGGGTTGTATTAGATTCTCGTTGCATGTTCTTATTTAATGAAGTCTTTAGGGTTCGAAGCATATGCTGACCACCTGATTGGGATTCAGTCAGATGAAGGTTCGACTAAGGATGATTGTGGTTGATATGGTAGAGGTGTGGTAAGACCATGGGCGGTGACCATGGTAGGATAGACGTATTGTAAGACTGCGGGGTGGCCGTAGAATTCATTGGATTGACGGATAGTATGGAAGTGTTGTAAGACTACGGGGTGGCCGTAACATTAATTTATACTTTTGTTCGATTAAAAATATAAAACCACAAATTTTAAGATGATCACAATGTGAGTAAGGGATCTTACGACGTGACCATCGATTCATAACGTGTATCCATCATTTTTGGTCACAACCTAACGAGTTAGTAGTCACAACGTGATGAGCACCTGAGGTTAACCATAATTTTGTGTTTTATGCCTTATTTAAGGGAAGTAACGGGCTAGGATTTGCACACCCTGAGCCTCCATCACTTCCCTCTCTACCCTAAACGAATCTACCCTCCATTTTTTTTATCTTGAGAGATCTTTTGGTGGTTTTTAGCTCCTTGTTGAAGAAGAAGGTTCCTTTGGTGCATTGTTTCAGCAAGTAAGCCTTATCCTCACAATCTTGCGTTGTTTATGGATCTTTGTAACCCCTCAAGTTCTTTCCTTTCTCATTTAAGCATGCTAGGTCTAGGTTTTTACCCACTTTTCTCCATGTATGGATTGTTTTGAACGCATGGAATCCATAAAGTTAGCAACTGTATGGATCATTGAGGCTCTGTGATAAATAAAAGTCTTAGATATGAAGTTTGATGGTGGATTGGACTTCATGCATGAGATTTTGGTGCTTTTCTTCCTATTTTGACCTAAGTTTGAGCTATAGACTTTTCATTGGGCTTCATGACTGTAAAGCATCGATCTTTGTGATATATTTGGCTCTAAGAAGGTTTCTATAAAGTTAGAATGAGTGGGTCAATAGATTAGGAGCCTAAAATTAGTGAATATAGTCATACAATAGGAATTAATTAACAAACGTATTACAAAAAGCAACTTGTTTTTGAGTTTTTTTTGCAAAACATTTCTAGCTTCTAGTTTTATATCTCAAAAGATCAAAAGGTTTTTTAGATTTTTCAAAAGTTATAAAATGTAGTAACTCATCAAACCGCAAAACTGCACAAACCGCCCGCATCAAACCGCACCACATAATGCGGTTTTGAACTTCTGCAGTGTGGTTTGCGGTTTCAAAAAAACTTAAACCGCATATGCGGTGCGGTTTGCTATTTTGACTTTAAACCGCACCGCGTACACCCCTAGTAGTAGTATCACAGAGAATTTTGTGTGTGCATAAAAGGTAAAAGCTACTTTGAAACTACTCACATAACCCCTTTGGTTTGAAATTGCTATTGAAATATGTCCAAATTTATAAAACAAAGGAAATATGATACGAGAAAATATATGTTGTGGGAAATATAGTATGTACAACAAGCAAGACGTAATTTATGCTTTTACGATATTAATAGGGTATAGGTTAACCACTACATCTACACCCTTGAGAAGACCGAACTACAAATACCACCGAACCAATTGGAAGTGCCGAACCACGTCTAAGCACCGAACTATACCTAAAATTCCGAACTACATGAAAGAACGAACAAAGTACGTTTTGATGTCACCACAGTGCATCAAGGACATGGGAACTTGAAGAAGTATATGATGTATGCAGAAAGGTGATTGATAAAACCTTATACTTACAAGGAACAACTGTATAACGATTTCCAAGTCTTTCTTCTTGTACCTTCGGGTGTACGACCATAAATGGCGATAAGACAATACATCAGTTCAGCACATAGGAAGATCAGGATGTTTCTACTTCGGCTATAAATAGGTATTTCGATCCACCATAGTCAGTACGCTAGAAACCGCTCACTCATCTCGAATAAAACCGTTCGCAATAAGATTCTCTCGATCTTCCCTAACTTTAGCATCAGAGCATTGTCCCGAGATCTTCTCCCATACAATTAGCTTATGAACTTGTGACAATTTCATGTTTCCAGGTTGTTCATTTATAGAAGGAGTCGTTTAACAGTAATACGGAGATTGAACCTGGAGACACATAAGGTATGGTTACTTTTAGTAGTAACATAAAAATGCACTCCTTAAAGTACACTTTTGACGTTTAAAAAAGGAATATGCAAGAAAAAACATAACCATTACACTATAGATGCATGAAAACAAATATGTCAAAAATAAGAAATTAACTTCTAGAAAAAGTAATTTTAAAATACGGAGAAATCTTAAAATACATGCATAAAAACGAAGATAAAAATCTTAGTAAAAAAATTAATTTTTTAAAAAATACTAATTTTTTTAGAATGATTTGATAAAAAACAAAGGTATAAAAGAAATTGTAAAAAATATTTTTTTGTGAAATATAGAAAATGAATTAAAAAATATAATTTATTAAAACAAAGAAATCTTAAAAAGTACACATAAAACACAAATAAAAAAATATTTGTAAGAAAATTTAAATGATTTCATATAAAAGAAAGTCGTAACAAAATATTTTTTTATAAAAAATCTATGTTTTAAAAAATATATAAAAAGAAAGTTGTAAAAAATAAGTTTAGACCAGCAAGGGACCAATTTCGTAATAAAAGATAAAATCAGGGCTAAAAAGATAAAAGTCAAAAGTTAGGGGTTATGTGCATTAGTGGAAATGTTTTCTGTTAGTAGTAAATTAGGAAGGTGTTAATTTTGGAAAGGATTTAAAAAGAACCGTTGGAAGTGGGAAGTCAAAAGGTTGGATCGGCGTATTCATATTGGCGCTTTATATAGCCCTTCTTCACTCTTCCCGCTGCTCTCCAAACAGCTTTCAAGAAGATTTCAAGAAGAAGAATAATAGAGGGTTTTATTTTCAAGCACCACCTTCTTCTCTTTTTCTTCTGTCGACACCATTGTTTCCTCTTTCTTTCATTCTCCGGCGTTCAACAATCCTCTGCGTTTCCCTCTTTCTCTCTTGTGTGTGTATTATTGCTTTTGTTTTTGCAATTATTGATTACGTTGTTGTTTTTGTTAGGTATTTTCAATTAGGCCAAGATTCTTCAGCCCTCCCTTCATCACTGCATTTATCGGGCTATTGGGTTGTTCCTTTATGCTTTATAGTTGTATGAAGTCTGGTTCCGATGTCAGTTTGGTTCATCGTCATCATCGATCAAGAAAAAGAGTACAGATCTTTCTCATCTGATTTCTATTTTTTTTTCTAAGAATTGCGTCATCGTCACTAAAAGGTAAATTAATAACATGATTTTAATTAATTGGAGCCTTAATTAACGCTACAACCTCCTGGGTTTCTTTTTGTTTCTCCTCCATTTATTTTTTGTTTTGTTGGTTTTTTGAATTAGGTCACCTAATCTTTGGTCAAGCATCCATTGAACAAAGACGATTGGTCAAGCAAGTGGCGATGTTGGTAAAATTTTAATGTTTTTGAAACCCCAAAAAGTATTGTTTAGTTTTAGAATTTAGATCTTTCTACCATGCACTTTAGGTGTTTGATGAAATGTCTTAATTAAGTTAAAAAAAAGTTGTTTTGATTTGTTTTGAGGGTGAAAATGTTATTGGATTGAATTGTGAAGACAAAAGTACATAATCACAAGCCAAATTAAAATATTAAACAACTTATTGAGTCATTAAAGATTCAGTTAGGGAAAGATAATTTATTATTTGTATTTCTAATTCAATTAGAAATAGAAGTGTATCTTGAATATTAATCAAATGAGGATATTTCCAAGAGGTGTTGGGATTTCTTTGTGGGCCTGTTTATGTCATTATTTCTGAGATTCCAAGAATAAAGAACACAAAGTCTTCGTTAGGTTAAAATGTTTTTGTATATGTGTAATGTTCTCTGTTACTATATCTCATTGTGTGATGTGTAGATGATACAAAAAAGAATCCAGTTTTGCATTTAGCTTGAATCAAAAGGTTTGATCATGGCATTCATGTACTTCTTCTTTTTTTTTCACCAGGAGTTGTACTTATCAAAAGGTTTACCCTTGTAGTTTTAGATGTTTCTAAGAAATGTTTTTTTTTGTTTTTTGTTTTTTTTTTATCTTGAAGCAGGTGACAAATGAGTGATTGAAACAGGTTATTACCGATTCATATAGCCATCTGTATGTTTTTCAGCTAATTATATAGAGTGAAAGTTGCACATAGTTCTAAGAGTTTAAATTTTATCATTTTAAAATTATTTATTTATTTGCCCTTGCAGCTTCTTCACAAGCCATATTTTGTGTGCCACAAACATTACATATTGTAAGTTTCCCCAGTTGATATTTTTAAATGGTTAAAATTGTGATTAGTTGCTAATGACTTTGACATTTCAGTTGCACTGATAAGAAGATTCTTTACTGAAATCATGCTACAACCTTCAACAACACCTATTGATTGGGTTAAAGGTTGGTTGACTTCAGCCTTCTATCCACTGATTACAAAAGATTATATCAACCTATAACCATGTTTGTATATTTCTAGAAATACCTCTCTGTTCCTAAAACTTGTGCTTATTTATCATCTTCAGGAAATGATGGGATTAACATACTTGATGTTTGAATCAATCAAAAAAAGATGTGCTTTTATTTAGCGAATTGGGACATTAGGGAAGGAAATGCCACAATGTGTGGTCTTTGGTGGGTTGAAATGTTAAAAACAAGTGGTCAACATAAAGAAGGTGCTTGTGTTCACTTTCTTATCTCTGATGATGTAATCTTCAATTCTTTCTGGTGATCTGTACAAGAAAGTATGGATATCTTAATACTTTAATAGATAATTTTGTTTTACCATTAGTAACAATTTTCATTATCGAATATTAGTGGTTCTGTAACAATAGTTAATTGCAAGCATTATCCTCCAAGTTGTAGTGACATTGTATTTTCAAAGTCTAACCTATTAAGACATTTTAGTTTTAATAATAGATTTTACTTTTAAAATAAAAAATTGTTTTGAACACCTTTCTGCCATCAGATTACTGATATAATTTTATGTTATACAATGGTTTTTCAAGGTTTTTGGATTATGAAGGCTGAGTCATGGATCCAGATGCTTTAAAACAGAGAACATTCTATAGGGGCAAAAAGAGGTTTTTATATTTTGGTGAAATTTACGCATCCACCCTTTTGGCTAATTTTAACCAAATATGTTCATGACATATGTAATTCCAGGTTTATGCATTCTTAGTGGGATCTTATTCATACCATTCAACAGTATGTTGTCTCAGTTAAAACATCAGAGTACATGACTGACTATCAAAAACCAATAGCAGGTAAATGACTATTTTCCCCTCCAAGTTCTATCACCCAAAAGAGGTTTTTATATTTATTGCAATTTCATGTTGCAGAGTATAAAAGGTTTACAAAAATTAGAGGAAGGAAGGGTTTGATTGAGAAAGATGTGGTATGAAAATAACCATACATTTCAAACTATTTATTTTTGTTTAAGTATTTTATTTTTGTTTTTAAGGTAAAGAACTGACAGCTCACTATTGACTTACTCATTCTACAGCTTTGATCTCGATGGTTATTGTCAGGTAACATGCCGTTATTATTATTTATAGAGTAAATTACAATTTCGTCCTTATGATATTTCAAAAGTTATGGTTTTCATCTAGATATTTCATTTGTTGCACAATTGGTCAATAAAGTGTAGTATTGTTGAAAGTTTTCTCCCTGGTGGTACTGTTGGTGTTGCAAAATGTCCATGAAGTCCATGTGAAATATGACTATTTTGTCCCTATCTTTTTCTCCTTCATCCTGTAGACCTAAAATTGCTTTCATGGGTTTTAGTCAATTTTCAATCTTTTTTGGTGTTTTTTTGTTGATTTCGTCAGCAGTTGAAGTCTTTTGCTGAAACCTTGCGAAAAAAGTCTATTATTTTGTCCCATGTTATCTTTGGTTGCAATTCCTTATTTCCTTTCTGTTGTCAATTAAAACATGTTCATAGTTTTGTTTTGGTGTGTTTTTGCAATAAGGTTTTCCGAGATCTTGATTAGAGATTGATGAATTACTAATTCTTAATCATGGAGCTTGATCCGGATCTTACTTACTTAATGACCATATCTTTGAATCCTTTGTTCTTCAAGCTTACTCTGTAATTTGGGTTCTAACCTTATTCTTCCATTCTGTTGGGTCTTCTAAAATGTGTAAAATCGATCAGTAGTTGGGTTTGCTCTTTTTCCACCATGAAAATCAGAAGACAACCGAGGAAATCGGTAACTACTGTGTTTGTTTATGTGATTCATGCTGATTTTTAAGTTTTCCACATCTATAATATAATTGTATCACTGATTTCCACTTGGGATCTATCAGGTTACGAACCTCCTTCAGGACTCATCAACATCGAAGGAAGACTTGTGTTGCAATCGCTTTAAGAAGATTAGCATCTGGTGAATCTCAAGTTTCAGTAGGAGAGCATCATTCAATGTTGGACAATCAACAGTTTGTCAGGTCACATGGAAATTCATGGAAGAACGCGCCAGACATTGAAAAATTACAAAATTTGCATACCAAGTGTTTGATAATATGTCTCACTTAACTTCAGTCATATTCTCTCTAACTCAGTTACTTTTTTCAGGTGACCTTGAGTTCGTTTCTTCCAATTCAGCTTATTTTCTTTCTTTATATCCGCAAATGATGAACTGCTTTCAAGAGATCCATTGATGACTGATAAATCCATTTTAATTTAAACTTAATGAACGAGCTGTGATATCGCTTCATTTTTAATCATTTTCCAAGTTTACGAGAAGAGGTATTATGATGATCATCAAAGTTAATATTTGTTGTGAGTTAATAGAATATTTTTGAACCATGTCTTTTTTTTCCCCCTAATACTACGCACAGGATATAATTGGGAAAACAGATGTAGAAATATTCAAAGGTGGCGCTGTAAAGGAATCCCAAGACTTCAAAAGAGAAGTTCTTGAAAAAGGATTACCAGGAAAAGGGAAAATAAGACCGAATTATTTGGTGCCAAAAGATTTTTAATATATATTTATCATGTGACAGGTAAAAATTAAGGAGAGAAAAGATGGCAAAACTCTGGGAAGAAATAGTCGTCTAGAAGGCTAAAGAGACAGAAGTTAACAAAACTATTCATATTACAGGTTGGTAAGCTTTTCTTCTCTTAAACCTTATAAATTTTATTATATTTTTTTGATATAAAAATGATTTGCTGAGCATTTTGCGTGAATCAATTTCTTTTAGAGGAAACAATGAGAGCAAAACAAATTTTGGCAACCATGTCACATGAGATAAGATCTCCATTATCTGGGGTTGTTAGCATGGCAGAGATTTTATCAACTACAAAAGTCGATAAGGATCAGAACCAGCTCTTGGGTGTTATGTTATCTTCTGGTGATTTACTTCTTCAACTTATAAATGCCATTCTTCACCTTTCCATAGTCGGGTCAGGTTATTTTTCATCCCTTTATAATTGCTATTTTTTTTATAGACTAATGTTCAAACCCCATTTTTATACTGTGTAGCATTTAAAAGTTAAGTCCACATGCTTCGGTTTTCCAAATTTAGAATTTGAAAATGTATATACATGTTTGGTGATGATACATTCTTTAACCAGATACCTTTTTTTTTTTTTTTTTGTCTCTTTATTTCAGTTTAAAATCACATGGAGATTATTGAAGCGATGTGTACATCAGACAATGCGGTTTCAGCCCTAACCTTCAAAAGTAGTCAAGTATGTTTACTTTCTGTGGAACAAGAAGGATCAGAAGTGAAAAATGTTCCAGCTGCAGAGAGTAAAGGTATTATGGAATGGAATCACAAGCGAATGGAATGGAATGGGTCATTACATTCCATTATAATGTTTGGTTGCATTTGCAGGTTTCAAATTTGATACAGAAGATGGAGATAGAGTTATTCCTGGTTTTCTTGATGCCATAATTGGAATTCAAGGAGATGAAACAAAATCTTTCTTGTCAGATTCATGGAAACAACAAGATCTACGTGGCCTTCCTTGTCATTTTACAGTAAGCCCCCTCCTCTTACTAATTCTGTTAATAATCTACACAAATATTAATTTTCTTGCAAATGTTTCAGTAGGTTGAATGTAAATTGAGAACTACCAGAGATGAATAACTCCATTGCTGATAAGCTTCTTACTGGATGCACAGGTTATAAACTTTGTCTATTAATCATGTTTTGACTTTTTACACAATTTTATCTGCTTATATTTTGTCTTCTTTTGGGTAAGCATATCATTCCTGATAGCTAATGTTGCTTATTTTCGTCATTCTGTGTGACAAGATTTACATGCTACCTCCTATTTGATTTTTTTTTTTTTATCAAAGAAAAGATTCCAAAGTAAAAGCCTAAAAAGTGAACGCTGTGGTGTTATAAAAGTTAAGTAATTAGGCGGGTCTCGGTTATTGAAATTAGTTGCGCTTATTAATTTATTATTATTATTTTTTCGACTTTTAGGTGAATGTGGTGATTTACAAGACTGGGGATATGTTATGTTGACGGCTCAATTGATATGAGGTGAATTTAGTTAGGTTTTTATGATATAAGATGGAAGGAGATTGAGAAGATGAAGATAAGGGAAAAAAAAACATTTTACTTAAAACTAATGAGTCGTTTTATTTAAACAAAATTTGAGTACACCGTTAGTGCCAGGGATGAACATTGCAAAAAAAAAACTAAATTTGATTGTTAATTATTTATGGGTTTTTTTGTTATACACAATATTTTGCTAATACTTGTAAGAAACAATTTTTTTTTTTTTCTCACAGGGTTTGAGTGGTCTCTCTTCAGTATCATTATTCATCATGAAAGAGGAATCACAAGCTTTCTGGTGTTTTGTTTTTTTATGGAAAGATTAGGTCCAAATTTCAACCATGATGGAGGGTATTTTGGTCATTTAATAAAAAAAGAGTAATGAAATTGAAACCACCTGCCCTCATGAATGGTTGAAGTCCATCAAATTTGAAATTTGAAGGAATTTGACAGGGTTGAATTCTGTCTTAGTTTTCAACCAAATGCACCATTGAATGGAATCTCGAATTCCAATTCCCTTGGAATCCACAATTCCAATTCTTGGCTGTGAAGCGATTACCAATCGACCAGAACTAAATTCCGTCCCAATCATCAACCAAACATGTCATGAAATGGAATCTCGAATTCCAACTCTGTCGGAATCCGCGATACCATTTTCTTATAACATGTCTATTATTGTTTTGATATGGCAGGCTCATTGCACAACTACTTCAAACAAAACGATGGATCTTCTGTTTCCAGTGGATTCTGATACAATTAAGTAAAATTGCACATCAAAATGGTAAATTCTTTTGGTAGCAATTAACAATTTTAAACAGATCAAACACCCAAGGATCTACTAGCCTCACTGGGTTTCTTTCTCTTTTTCTCCTCCATTTATCTTTTGTTTTGTTGGGTTTTTGAATTAGATCACCTACTCTGCACTTTAGGTGTCTGATGAAATGCCTTGATTAAGTTAAAGAGTTGTTTTGCGGGTGAAAATGTTGTTGGATTGAATTATGTAGACAAAAGTAAATAATCACAAACCAAACCAAATTAAAATATCAAACAACTTTTTGAGCCATTAAAGATTCAATTAGGGAAAGATAATTTGTTATTTGTAATTTTACTCAGTTAGAAATAGAAGTGTAACTAGTTCCAATCCTTTTGCTCAATCACAATGTAATAATGTGTTTGACTTTGCTAACTTTTCGCTAATTCTGTCTTGTTATCATAATAACAGACATAAACATCTATCTCCAATAACTGTACTTTGATGATTACTTAATATACATTTAAAATGTCTAATAAGGTAACAATAAAAAAAAATCCTTTCCATATTGGCCTCATAAGTTTGTATGTTGCAACTGAATGCTATTTAGATGCAAAGGTATATAACCTTCTATTAAAACATTATACTTTCATAATCAAATCTATTAAGACACTGTAATTTTATTAATTTTATACTTTCATGGAAAATAAGCCTATTAAGATATTTTCTATTATTTTGTTCTTGATAAAAAGACAGTGCAATCTTAAAAGTTATAACATGTCTGATTTTGGTTGCTGTTTGTTGCATTATACTTTCAATTTTCTTTCCAGTTACTTTGTTTTTTACAAATTAAGACAATATATACTTTGAGCTAACTTCTTAAGACCTACTTTGAGTTTTTCTTTTTCCTATTAAGACAATGCATTTTAAAATCTAACTATTCAGACTTTGTATTTTGAAAACCTATACATGTTTGATTTTGATCAACATCTGTAGCATTTTATATTCAAATCTAACATATTTAAACGTTGTGTTTTTCAATCAACATTACACGTTGAAAATCTAACATATTTAAAGTTTAGACTTTATACTTCTCTTTTTTTCCTACTTAGACAGTATACTTGAAATATATCTTATTATAAATTTTCATGTAATCATTTACTATTAAGACATGATACTTTGAAAATTTAAGCATCTTTGATTTTTGTTACCATTTATAAACATTATACCTTCAATTTTCTTTCCAGCTACTTTATTTTTTTCATATTAAGACAATCTACTTTAAGTAATTGTAGCATTATTTTGTTTATAGTATTATAGTTTCAATATCAAACTTATTAAGAAATTGAACTTTTAGTTTTTTTCCTATTAAGAAAACGTGTTTTAAAAATCTAACCTATTAAGTTTTAGAAAAATCTATAAAGTTTAAAAAAAAAAAAGCTAGTGTATCTTTTGGTAATGATTTTTTTTTTTTTTAAAGCATTGCATCATCATCGCTAAAAGGATCAAACACTATACACAAGGATCTACTTAGAACTATATACCAAAGGAAAGTTAATGACATGATTTTACACAAGCATTGCACACTGAGTTTCTGTCTCTTTCTCCTCCATTTATTTTTTGTTTTGTTGGTTTTTTTGAGTTAGATCAGATTGTGTATTGTCCCTGATATAAGGCAAATAACCCTTTTTGTTCTTTTTCAATAAATGTGGCACTGATAATAATGATGTCTTAGATTTTCCGGATTTTTGTCTATATCTATGGTTGACTTGATAAAAGTAGCTTTCATTTAGCAAAAAATTCAATCTTTCTCTTACTCTTTTGAACTTTATGGATACAAAAATGGAGATTAAAAGATGGTAGTCTGTGTTACTTGATCATCAGTTCATGTTGCTTTAGTTTTAGGGCTCATCAAGGCCACATCTTATATTTAGACACCAGTAAGCGAAGCTCTTCTATGAATGGTTGAAGTCCGTCAAATATGAAAATGACAGAGTGGAATTCCATCATAATTTTCAACCAAATGCACCGTTGAATGGAATCTCGAATTCTTATTCCACTGGAATCCACAATTCCAATTCTTAGATGCGATTATCAAACATGTCTACTATTGTTTCAGTATGGAACTACTAAACAGCCCATTACACAACTGCTTCCTCGCTTGATTTACTTCTTCTGTCTCGGCTGGATTCCGATCCAATTCAAAAAAGGCAAGTAAATTTACTCTTCTACCCTCACCACCTACAATACTAGTTAAAAACTATCACATGGTTTCAGGGTATTCAAATTGAATAAAACATTAAGGTTATTGGAGGTGTTGTTATAGACAATATAAGTATGTTCATTATGGATAAAGAACAAAGTGTATTTATTGCTTTTGCTTTTGCTTTTATCAGTAAAGAAATTAAGTACTTTGCTATTATGGATAAACAATATAAGTATGCTGCCTGCTATTATGGGTAAAGGAAAAAAAAAAGAATAAAGTACGTTGATTTTCTGTTATAAAGTTAATAGAAAAATAAATTATTTAATGTTATTTCTAGTTATGTAGTGGTCAAGATTTTTGGATTATGAAAGCCGTGTCAAGGATCCTGATGCTTTTTAAAAAACAGAATATTCTATGGGAACACTTGCGAAAAGAGTTTTTTATATTTTGGCCAAATTTACGCATTTACCCTTTTGGCTAATTTTAGCTAAATCTGTTAGAGACATGTAAATCGAGGTTTGGGCATTTCAGTGGGATCTTATTCATACCATTCAACATACACAGTCAGGCAGTATATTATTGTCTTAAGTTAAAACATCCAAGTACATGAGTATCAAAAACTAATGGAAGGTAAATGACTATTTTGCCCTCCAACTTCTATCACCCACAATCGTATTAATTGCAATTTCATGTTGCAGAGTATTTACAAAAATGAGAGAAATGAAGGGTTTTATCTAGAAAAATGTGGTATGAAAATAACCATACATTTAAAATTACTTAAATTGAGTATTTTATTTTTGTTTTTAAGGTAACATGCCACTATTATAATTTATAGAGTAAATAACGAATTTGTCCTTGTGATATTTCAAAAGTTATGGTTTTCATCTAGATATTTTGTTAGTATAGTTTTGTTGCAAGGTTTGTCCCTAGTACTGATGTTGTTGCAAATTGTCAGTGAAATATGACTATTTTGTCCGCGTCTTTTTATCCTTCATCATCCTCCATCTTAAACTCCAAAAATTGAACTAAAACAAAAATAAGATCCAGGGTACCAACAAACTAAATAAAAAAAAAGAATATGATTTAAGACAAAGGAGATTGAGAAGATGAAGATAAGGGCAAAAAAGTTATTTTATTTCTAACATTAAATAAAAGGTTTAAGTAAAATAACTTTTTTGCCCTTATCTTCATCTTCTCAATCCCGAAATCTGAAGTTTAACTTTTATTGTTTGTCCTTAACTTTTTTGCCCTTATCTTCATCTTCTCAATCCCGAAATCTGAAGATGAAGATAAAATAACTTTTATTGTTTGCCCTTAACTTTTTTGCCCTTATTTTACTTAAACCTTTTATTCAAAAAACCTCTCAGATGGTCTTTGTGGTTTCAAAACTTTTATTGTTTGGTCCTTATTATTCACTTCGTTATCTTTTGTCTGTTAACTTAATGGTATTATCATCATTTCACTATCACAGAGACCGTTTATGAAGTTATGTCTGATTTAAAAAAATAAAATAAAAAATATTTAATATAAAAGGGTCTCTCTCTCTCTCTCTCTCTCTCTCTCTCTCTCTCTCTCTCTCTCTCTCTCTCTCTTCTTCCATGGATCTGTTAAAAGTCGAAGAAGCAAACCCAAACCAACATCGATGCAATCTTGAATGGT